GTCCCGCGGGGGACAGGGGCCCGGGCCGGACCCCGGGAAACGGGGCTCCGTTCTGGGCAGGGGGCGACGAGCAGGTGGGTGCCGCCGGGCCCTTCCGCCCATCCGGGCCCGGGGACTGGCACACTGGCGCGAAGGGACTCCCGGCCTGACCCCTGCGCCGGGTCAGGGGGCTGCCGGCGGTTCCATCGCCTAACAGGGGTGAGAATGAGCTTGCTCAGGGATTGGGGAACGTGCTGGAGGCAACCGTGAGAGGGAAAAGCAAGAATGGAGTGGCAGATGTGTGAGTTGCCTCATCCGTTACAGCAGGAGCTGCACTGAGGAGCAGAAAAGCTGCTTTCCTTGTGTTGCTCTCCACACCTTAGCAGGAGTTAAACACACAGATACATTCTTTAGATTACATTGCTTTAGGTAGCAAGGATTTCTGCAATTCTAGTTTCTCTAATTGTAGAGAAAACACACAAGGGCTCGTGCATGTGCATTCTAGTAGCTGGGCAGTGAAACCTAGGGGCTGTTGCGATGTTCCATCAGCTGGACTTCTTGTTCATTTGCTGTTAAATTCCAGGGAATCCACAGATGTGACACCCCATTAATCTACAAGAAGATTCAAGCGGAGTGTGAACTCCATCATGAGCACAATAAATGAACCACCTTAATTTAATACACACAGAACTGTCTTTTCTATTCTTAATAAAATTTATTTTCATCTAGAGGTGATTATTGATCCTTTTCTGTTCTAGTGTGTTGCTCTATAAGATTCTGTCACCATGAACTGGACTTCCAGACAACATCTGCAGTTCTAGCCCCCATCTCCTCCCACACTGTACATGTATTTAACATTATATTACCAAAGTCTTTGGGCCATTTTACTCACTGACTAAGCTTTTGAAAGTCTGTCCTTTTCAAACTAGGGAATTCCTCTTGCAAACTTCATTTATCCTTCTGATTGATTCACTCAAAGCAAGTTCTCCTGTGGTGAGTTTACTCAAGGTAATTTCATGCCTGCAGGTCTTTCCCAATATTCTTGCTATTTCTTGTGGTTACTTAACACTATAAATTAATCTGTTAAGCCTCTTACAAAGAAATACATGTACTTACTTGCCATTTTCAGTGGCAATTGTTTTCCAGCCTACATTGAGGCGGCCAAAGAGTAACTTCCAAATAATTTGACAGATGCTTTTGTCAATAACCAAATCTGGTTTGGGCAGCAGAAGAGCTGGCTCCTGCCAGCCCTGAGACACTGGCTTTACTCACTTACCTTGTCCTAAAAAAAGCAACCATGTCTGCATTATGCACTCTTACTGTTACACTTTGTAACAGTATGTTATCCTGCTGGTTTTAATTCTATTTTCAAATAGCTAATGCTTTTCATTCCTCTAAATGCTATTCTAGCACATTTTAAGTTACCCCCCAATTAAAGTGTCACATCTTGGATCAGCAGCTGAAGTTTTTTTACTTTTGACTGGTGATAACATGCAGTGATCTTGAGCCTTCAGGTGGCTCCCACAAAGGCAGGAATCATTTTCTCCTATTCTTTGCATAACTTCAGACCTTTTTTTTTTGTGGCTTTTCTGTTGTTTTCTTTGTCTTCTGAGGTTATGGAAACAGGCTACAGCAGGAGACAGGATGTTAAGGGGGAGGCTGGATTCCCTGGAGTTTCTGAGGAACACTGCAGGCATTTGTTTGATATCTAACTTGTGTGCAGGCTTAAACCAACAGCCAGAGTCGGGTCACAAAGTAATTTATCTTCTGGTTTGGACTAGCAGAGTTCTGTATTTACAGGATATCTGTAATACAGATAATAATTCCTCCTTTGACATACTGCAAGTTGGATCTGAGGTTGGGATGCCATGGTGTGCATGGAGTAAATGCCAATCTGCAAACTAAGGGTCTGGCACACAGGTTCCCTGGGACAGCAGGAGAAGCACTTGATAACTGGGGTGGTTCTTTCCTGTCCTGTGTTTCTCTTCTGATCAGGCTCTTTGCCTTAATACACAAGTTTTTCTGTCTTGCCAATTATACTCCATTTCTGTAAATTTCCTGATGGGTTTGCTCACTGCCAGTATTTTCTTCTTGCTGCTCATCCTCTGACCCTCTTAACACTTCACAATGGCCTTATGCCTGTTACTAAAACAAGCAAGGCAGATTACAAGGAATGTTAATTTCAGGAGTAAAGGACTGGTAAACAGGCACATTTGCTTTGATTCCACTGTTCATGCTTCACTTTTTTTTTTTTGTTAAATCCCTCCAATGGGCATTCTGCTGGCAGACACATTCCCCAAATTCATTGTGTTCTTGCGCCTTTGATCTCTTCTTCAGCACCAGAAAGACTTCTATCAAATATTACTATGAGCATCCATTTCTTCCCTCTCTGGTCTCCTATTTAGGTTAATTCAAGTGAAGTTATTTGCATGGGAACAATTCTAGTTAACTCTAGTTACTAGCTACAGTTAACTAGAACTACCTAGTACCTGAAGAAGTCTTTCAAAACCAGAATTATTCTGAAAACCAAGTTACACAGATCTAAGCCTACAACAGTTTCTCAGTCCTCATTTGACTAAACATAGTCTTTACGTGTTCACTTAAATATTTAGCTTAAAGAAACGGGAGTTGGATTGAGAGAAGAAAACTACAGATACTATTTTTTAAATGTAGAGTTATGCACCAAGTGTAAAATCCAAGGGTTGTTGGCTACCCTCTTTCTGGATGGAGGTGAAGATAAACTTCAATGGTGATAGCTTGGAAAGGGTTTTGTCTTCAAAGCATTAGTATGCTGTTCTTTCAGGGACGAGTGTAGTAGATGTGCCTGCAGCAAGCTAAGAGATAGTACAAGGGCAAGGCTGATGTCTTCCCAAAGCTTCCTGCAGCATCTGCAGAGGCACGATGCTAGCATGAAAGTTATTAGCATGTCGGGGCATTTCACAAGGACATGAAATGTTTAGCAGAGGTGTTACCTCCACTGTATACTGCCCAGGACAGACATCAGAGTTCAGCTGTTCTCTGCAGCTTGAGCCACTGTAAGGCACCACAGGATAAAAGCTTTATTAAAGTTTTGAAATTTTCTTAATTATACCAAGAATTTAAGTTTTCAGTCTTCCCCTTTACCCCAGCTCCAGCATTTTGGCCAGGAAGCATCCTAGAGCATGTTAGCCCCTGGTGACCCTCATGTAGTCTCTTATCTCTCAGTTCTTCTCACTCCAGAGCAGAAATCAGAAGAACAAATTATACTGCTAAAAATTAAAGAGTAACAGAGATGAGAATGCAGTTACAGCTTTGAAATATTTTTTCCACTGCACCTCTCCAGGTGGCTTAACAATTTCTTTTCCCCCCCTCCCCTGACCAGTTCCTTCCCTACAGCAAATGCTGCTGGTCTCTTGAGACTCACACAGATCTGCAGTCATCGCTCTGATTCCCCTCACATACTCTGCTGCCAGCCCACAGTAATGACTTTCAGTTTGACACCTTTCTGTCCAAGTCTGATACCTTCCTTCCCTTCCATGACACCTAAGGAAGGGGACGAGGCTTTGAGGTACTTAGGTGCCAAGCAAACAAGAGGGAGACTTTTGTCCTGACCCAGCAGCCCAGCCCTCCCACCAACCCTCTGCGTACAAGCAAAAGGACCAAGTTGCCAGCTAACCCAGTACAGACATGGGAATCTGACTAGGGCACTGAACCCACTTCGATTAATTGTACAGTTGAATAGAAACCCATGAATTTTGGATTAAAATCTTCAAGACCACTGGTCCAGAAAAGGCACGTTAACTGCTGCAAATTTGAAGGCTTTTCTCCAGAACACAGGTTCTGATTTGCTGTGGGACAGGTGTGGGGGAGCTTCCCAGAGGAACACTTGTCCTGCTGCAGGGGCAGAAATATGAAACTTCTAAAATATCTGTGGTTTCACTCTCAAGCAGAGTTACATCTCCAATATTTAATTCAGAATGCTGACATCACTTTTTCCGTTGGTCCCAATGAAGAAGGAGTTAGGCATGTTTTGGGCACTGCTGTCCTCTCTTTCCCATATGCTTTTCCCAACTGTAGGTAATCAGGACAAATCAGAATAAGGATGAATAAACACAGAATCCTCCATGTAGCTTTCTCTTAGAGGATCAAGGCTATGAAATCCAATGTCACCCACAGTCCTTTGAGCAGAGTCTCAGCAAGTAAGAAAGCAGGAGGGCTGGAACCAGAAGGACGCTTATCCTGGCTCAGAGTCCTGGCATCAATGGCTCGGCCAGGCAGGTTAGAATCGAGGAGCTCCGTAATCATCTGGCATCCTCTCAATATTGTATCTGAGAAATAAAGAGGGAAAACTTATGAAGATGACCTACTCCACATTGCTCCTCTCCCGACGCAGCAACAGGCTTACAGGCAGAATGAACAGCAAGAACCTTTGCTGCATTTCTATCTGCAGCTCAGATCCCCAGGAAGAAAAACTACTTGTGAAAGCAAAAAGCCTTCGGAAGGTCACTGTTATCTTTTACCTCAGATTATCAGGTATATCTAAAACTCACAATCTCTAGAGAAGGAAAAAAAATTGTGGTTTTATAAGATCTGACTTGGGATTGAAATGCAGACCACCATGGAGAACAAAACACTTGTCCATTCAACTTACAATTCATGGCCTCACTGAGTAAGGGGCAAAGATGTATTGAGACAAAAAAATCTTCCGAGACATGTTCTAATTCTAGACCAATTAAGACTTGACAAGTTCATAGCAATCAACCTCCTCATTTCTGATATACTGCTCTCTCAGTGTATAACTAGACTCATTGTATCTGCTGCTAGAAAAACCGCCTCCTTTCTAGTATCTCTTCCATGCCATCTGAAGACTTTCGTTCCTTCCTCTCCATATTCTGACTTCTCTCTATCCTTACTATGTTACCAAACTAAGCTAGAGTATTGTGAAACATTTTAGCATAGGTTCTATACAAGATAAATCCTCTGAGCTGTACATGATGTAAAAGAAATATTAAAACACTGGATATGACACACAAAGGTAAGTAAAGTCTTCCTAGCAGAGGCTTTATGAGTGCTTTGGAAGGAGCAGGAAATTAATTTACGCAAATGTTTTTACAGTGGGATCACTGGTCCTACTGCATATTAAAAAAATAACAAAGTGAGCCAGTACTTGTAGATACTGGAGAAACTGCTGCACTTGTATCCTTCCAAGTCGGTTTGCTTTTTATCTAAGAAGCAAATTCAACCTCATAGCTGAGGGTAAACAAACCTAAGAAATACCACATGAAACAAGAATGGTTATTTTCCTCACAAACCTGTAAATACATTTGTCTGGTAGTCCTGCTGCTGTTGGTAAACAAAACTAATCTATAGAGACAGTGGCCTCTGGGGAACTAGTTTTCCAGGTAAAAGCAAGTGAGCATGTAGATTACAATAAATGTGTATCTTTGACCAGTCTCTTCCCAGCAGCATCTGCACTTCTTCTGTTGTGCAAACACTTGGCCCTTTACCCTGCACTACAGACAGCACAGAAGAGAAGTACATGGTGGCAGAGTCCTTGTCAGACAAGGATTCTGCCAGGCACCACTCCTTCCTGTTGGAGGTCCCTTACCTGTGCCTGGAAATATACATTATAGGTACTCCAGGGATTTTTCGTATTCTCCTCTTGAGCTCTTTATCCACTGTGGCCACTATGTAACATTTGTGCTGCAACAAAAAGAGGCAAGTCAGACTAGACACCAGTGAAACCACAGAAGGAGACAAAGCTGAGCAAAAGCTTCTACTCAGTGAGCTCATTTAATGCAAGAGGCCTGTGAGTCCTTAGGGATGCATTACTAGGACTTGTATGGAACTCCACAGCAGACTTCTGCTTGTCAAAATAGTAATCCAAAGTTTGTCCAGCCTTTCCAGCTGACAGCTTTCCCATTCCAAGTGCTCCTTGATGCTGTGCTATACAAGTACACTCAGGTAAGGCTGTACCTTCAAATAAAGTTGTTCTAGGGACTGAAACTTCCCCTTACTGAGTATTTACAGTTACTTTGTTGGAAATCTAAGTCATCAGTAACAAGGAGGGCTCAGGAATTTTTAGTATGTTAGCACAGCAAATTTCAGAAACAAATACCTGAGTGACTCTCTGTACCAAGCAGTCGTCTGCGTAAGTTCCTTTGTGCGTACATGGCAAGCGTTCAAACCGAGGGTCCTTGGCAATTCTGAAGGGATAGATAAGGCAGCATGACAGCAGTCAGACCACAGTGTGCAGCAACACAGTACAGAGGAACAGAATACCCCGGCTGTGACATGCAGCAGCTTCCTCTCAAAACAAGGGCTGAAGAGATGGAGCGGAAGGTACAACACAGTCAATTGAAATGAGGAACAAAAAGTGAATGCAATTTGTCTGGCTAATTATTATAGGTTAAGTATTTCTTGCTACTTTTTAGTTTGATTCAACATCCCCACAACGTTAGGCTTTTGCCTAACAAAGTCACCTGAAACAAGTTATCTGTGGGAAGAACTAGAACTTCTGGTATCTCATCTTTCATACCATGTATATAGAACACTTTACCTCCTCTCCGAAGGGGAACATCAAAGCTGTTTACGGGATGCACTCAGATACAAGACAACGAGCCAAAGTAAAAGTAAAGAACAATACATTTGACTGGTATATCTGGAGGGGAGGAACTACATTGGAGTGGTTTTGTACAGATCACACAGTAACCTGGCTCTAGATTATCAGTATGTGCTACCTACTCCTACAGGAATAACATGAGTTTCTGTACGATTTGTGTCACTTCTTTATTATAAATTTCTATAATTAAAAAAGAAACACACTATTTTGAGCAACAGGAGGAAGTGTTATTTTGAAATTCTTAGGGGGAAAAATGATTTACAGATCAATATTGTGCACTCATATCCAATATTTAGTTTTTTAAAAAATAATCTAAAACTGGAGCCATCACACTGACCAAATACAGCTGAAGAAACAAAATCAAGTTTGGGACTCTGTAACAACCTAAGTACTGGCTAGTGCAAGAGCACCATCACTGAAATACTTTCATTTATTTATATTAAAACATTGAGTTCAAGAAATGGAGAACACCCTGCACCTACCTTAATGCCACACGGTACTTCTGTCCTAACTTCTCAATTTCTCCCATTACACAATCTGTGATACATGGAATGCCTACATGCAAAAAAACCTTGTGTTAAAACCAAGCAGTGTTTCTTTACAGACCCCTACAGTACTGCCCATCTGCCCAGGAACAGTTAACTATCAGGGAACTCTTTAACATGTAACTTAAAATTTTAAGCTTATAAGAACTGGTAAGGTTGTGAAGTCACAGAATATAGAGCCATTGAACTTGACCATGCCATGATAATTTTAGATTTTTAATTTATTAATGCTTTACATTTATTGACATTATCATTTAAGACTGTTGTTTGACTGAAACTATAGACAGTTCTAGCTTTACCACAGCCATGAACAATGAGCTCAACCATTACACCACATGTACCTCTTTTAAGATTTCTGTGAACATCAGCAAGTGGTACGAGGCTGACAAGGCACACCACAAGCACATGGCAGCACTATGCAGCCCAGAAGAAGCTGCAAGTGATGCAGACACTCACACTTGGCATAAAGACAGTCCATCATTGACTGCACCAGGTCCAGCTTGGCCTTGATAGAAAAGTTGATGAAGTTAGTGTCAACCAGGATGTGGTAAGGGGGGCCCAACTGGGTATTATACTGGAAGAACAAACAAGAGGGGTGCTGGGGGCTGCCAGGAAGACAAAGAATTAAAATAAGTTAATTGCATTTAACAACATATCCAATCCTACAACTTACACAGAATTAAAGAAAGGTGAGAACCAAGGCAGCGTGGGACGGTGCCCTGTCAGCCCTCCTGCCTTCCAAGCCGCAATCCCTCGATGTGAAGGGCCCCATTTCCTATCCGGGCAGTTCTGCTCGGAAACACTCCCAGCGCCCGCCCGAGCCGCCCCCCATCCCTAAAGAGCCGGCAGCACTTACACCTCACGCTCCTTGATGGCACTCGGGTCCTCCTTCTTCTTTTCGCGGGCTTTCGCCCGGTCCTTCTCGTTACTGCAAGGAAACAGGGGCAGGGCTGGGGCGAGGCCTGGGCCGGGATCCCCCTCCCGCCGGGCCGGGCCCAGCCCAGGCCGCACTCACATGCGCTGGTCCCGCAGGCTGATCATGCGCTTCATCACCGCGTATTTCCGCGCCTTCTTCTGCTTCCCCTGCAACGACACGGACACGCCGTCAGCTGCGGAGAGACCCCGGCGCGGCCC